AAAATACACAGAACAGAAGACGACAGAACCGCAGGAAGAAACGGACAAGCCACATTTATGACTCCAAAAGTCAGCACAGCTTCCTCAGTAGTTGATCCAGCAAATAAACGGAAAGTAGTCCGCTATGGACGACCCAAGCAACACTACCAGCCTGAGTGACTGACATTCACAGGTCACAGGACAGCATCAGCACACATGAAGCACTCACTACAGGTAGGCCATATTTGGGTCTATCCTAAAACAAACCTCAACTCATTTAAAAGACTTGAAACCATACCAAGTATGTTCTTTGACCATAGTTAAATTAAACTAGAAATCAATAAGAAGAGTATCTGGAAAATCTTCTAATATTTGAAAATGAACATTACACCTATGGGTCAAAGAGAAGGTCACAAGGGAAATGGAACAAATTTAAAGTGAGCAAAAATAAAAATGCATATATCAAAGTTTCTGGAGCACACTGGAAGCTCAGAGGGAAACTTACAATATTAGTAAGTTAATGTCTACAATGCAAAGTGCCTTGCCACATGGTCTCACAATGTTAGCGGGACTATCATTATTACTAGGTGCATATCGGTTCCCTCATTTACAAAGTGATACTTTGCCACATCATGGTATTGGTTCCTCTCAGTAGATGCAGCAGCATAGTATAAGGAAAGCCAGAATCTGAACCCACACAGTCTGACTCCAGGCAGGTTCTCTAAACCCCTGCATCTAGATCAGCCATCCCCAGCCTTCTTGGCATCAGGGACCAGTTTCATGAAAGACAATTTTTCCATGGATGTGGGGTAGGGGGTGGTTTCAGGGTGATTCAGGCATATAACATTTATTGTGTACTTTATTTCTATTATTATTACATTGTAATATATCATGAAATAATCATACAGCCCACTTTTTTTTTAAAGCGTGGACAGAAGTGGTAAGTAAAATAATGGGCAGGCCACACGTGGACTAAAATAAGTGTAGGATTCTGACTTAAAGCCTGCCACCAGATGCAGCTGTACAATTGAAGTATATCACTCACTTGCCACTCACTGAGAGGGTTTTGCTACGAGTCTGCCAGCAGTTGATTTATTACGGTCTCTGTGCCGTCAAACCTCACTGCTCATGTTCATCTGTATTTGCAGCCGCTCCCCAGAGCTAGCATCACCGCCTCAATCCACCTTAGATCATCAAGCATGAGATCCTCATAAGGAACATGCACCCTAGATCCCCCACATATCCGCTTCACAATAGGGTTCGTGCTCCTGTGAGAATCTAATGCTGCTGCTGATCTGACAGGAGGCAGAGCTCAAGCAGTAATATGCGTGATGGGGAACAGCTGTGAAGACAGACGAAGCTTCACTTGCTCACCTGCTGCTCACTTCCTGCTGTCCATGGGCTCGAGGTTGGGAACCTCTGATATAAAAGGATTTGAGTGTCTTACGAGTCAGTCGCGTTGTTAGTAAATGTCAGAGGCAAGACCAAAGCCTGGGCCTTCTGACTTTGAGTAGTTCATAGTCTACCATGCTTTCTGATCTATTTAATTATACAAATTTGATCTGTTTTATCCCCCGCAATTACATTGTATCTTTCTTAAAGTCAGAACATATCATCTGTTTCCTTTGTAAATCCTCTGAAGAGCTCTTTTACTGAATAGGTTGTCACATGTAGTGATAAAACACAAAAACTTGAGAGAAACCCAAACAAGTCGATGAGGAAATATGTGTGCATTTTACATGTTTATCATTGTCTTTAAAAAAAAAAAAAACTCTACTTCTGCCTCTTGGGAGAGTGGCCATTTAGCAGCAAAAGTTTCTGCCTGTCTGGTACACACTGACTCCTTTTTACACTCCTCCGCCCCAGAAAATCTTGTTTCTACAAATCTGTGCTCTAATGATCATTCACTAGTCTCGTGACAGGTGGTTAGATGTGATTTTTGACATTACTCGAAGGGTACAACTGACTAATCAGAACATGACACTGGGTAATCACTGTTCAAAGCTGATGGCATCATGAGGTCATGTGCTGTACTTGAAATTCATGGACTGCAGCCAAATATGGTAGGTGGAGGGAAGCTGTAAAACACACACTGCAGAGAAGTACCTTCCTTTGAAAGGTTGCCTTTGAGAGACACCAAGAAAACATTCATTCCCACACAAACTAAAGGTTTTCCTGTTATTGACTGTGACTTGTATGGAGACATTTTAAGAGGAATGAGTTTAGCTATTTTAACAATATTTTTCATTGCTGTGCAAGTCAATAAAAACCTATTGTATTAGGTTGCTGCAAAAGTAATTGCGGTTTCAGACCATGAATTTTCAATCATTTTAACTAGGCTCAAACACATATTTATTAACAAAAGTAGGGACCATTGCAATCGACACATTTTTACGGATGAGAAACAAACATTGTTTATTCCTGTAGCATAAAAATCCATGCTTTGGGATTCGATGAACTCTTGAAACGCATTTTCTGCATCCTGCTGGTTGTGGAAGCATTGTCCCTGCCAAAAGTTGTCGTGATGCTTGAAGAAGTGGTAGTCAGTTGGCAGGAGGTCAGGTAAATATGGCGGGTGAGGCAAAACTTTGTAGCCCAATTTGTTCAACTTTTGAAGCATTGGTTGTACGAGGTGCGGTCAGGCATTGTTGTGGAGAATTGGGCCCTTTCTGTTGACCAATGCCGGCTGCAGACATTGCAGTTTTCGGTGCATCTCATGGATTTGCTGAGCATCCTTCTCAGATGTCATGGTTTCGCCGAGATTCAGAAAACTGTAGTGGATCAGACCAGCAGCAGACGACCAGACAGTGACCAGAGCCTTTTTTGGGTGCAAGTTTGGCTTTGGGAAGTGCTTTGGAGATTCTTCTCAGTCCCACCACTGAGCTGACCGTTGCCAGTCATCGTATACAATCCGCTTTTCGGTACACATCACAATCCGTTTGAGAAATGGTTCATTGTTGTGAAGAAAAAGAGAAAAGGACTCTTTGAAATGATGATTCTTTTTATTTTCAGTCAGCTCATGAGGCACTCACTTATTGAGCTTTTTCACCTTCCCAATTTGCTCCAAATGCTGAATGACCATAGAAAGGTTGACGTTGAGTTCTTCGCATTCATGTTAGTTGTAAGAGGATCGGCTTCGATGATTGCTCTCAGTTGGTCATTGTCAACTTCCAATGGCCGACCACTATGCTCCTCTTCTTCAAGACTCTTGTCTCCTTTGCAAAACTTCTTGACCCACCACTGCCCTGTGTGTTCGATAGCAATTCCTGGGCAAAATGCATTGTGGATGTTGCGAGTTGTCTCCACTGGTTTACAACCCATTTTGAACTTGAATAAGAAAATTGCTCACATTTGCTTTTTGTCTAACATCATTTGCATAGTCTAAAATAAATATAAAATAAGCAGCAAGTAATAAGTCAGCAAAAAATAAAGCAAGAAATGCACATTTAAATGATGTATAACATGACCACATTTATTTAAAAATGTATTTCAATATCAAACAGCAAACATCAACAATGCAAAAACCGAAATTACTCTTGCACAAATCTAATGGTAATTATCACTAAAATTGCTGTTATGTGCAAAATTCTAACTGGTAGATGGAAATACAAATTCGCGTCTAATCCAGTAGTAGGAAATACAAGTTCATGTCTAATCAGGTAGTAAGAAATACAAATTTCATGTCTAACTGGGTTGTAAGAAATAAAAGTTAATGTCTAATCGGATAGTAAGAAATACAAGTTCACGTCTAACTGAGTAGTAGGAAATACGAGTTCAGGTCCAGCCTGGTAGTAGGAAATACATGTTCATGTCTAGCCTGGTAGTAAGAAATACAAGTTCATGTCTATCCTGGTAGTAGCAAATGTGAGTTCATGTCTTTCCTGGTAGTAGGAAATGTGAGTTCACGTCTAGCCTGGTGGTAGGAAATATGAGTTCATGTCTAGCCTGGTAGTAGGAAATACGAGTTCATGTCTAGAATACATGAAGAATCCATGTAGTAGAATACAAAGTCATGTCTCAGCAACTTGCCAAGTAGCTGGTGGTGCAGCCAACTGCTTGAGATGAAGCAGCATCCCCTGCGCAGGCTGCCTGTCTGCACTCGTGGCCGGAGGCTTGGGGCACATGCTTGCTGACAGTCCTGGCACTAGCTATTCTTCACTTTCTAGAACAAATGCATTTTAGTGGCATTTATGTGATGTAGTGAGTTTCCTTTCCACTAGAATGGTTAAAAGTTATTGTACTCTTAAACAATTGAAATTTAGCAGAGGAATTCTGAAAGAAAATGCATAAAATTTTTACGAAGAATTGTAATGTAACATATTTTACCTATAAGGTAGAAAATATATTAAAGGAACTGTTCAACTTTCTACAAAACGCAGTACATTTTCATATTTTTGCATGCCTGACTATAAACACCAAAATGTTATTCTCTCTAACTAAAGGGTTTACAGTCTTCTTGATTTATTAACAATGTGGTTTTAAAAACAATTTGCTAGAAAAAGATGCCTTGTTTTAGTTTTTGGAAGCAGTGTTATCACCAGGATGCCGCTGTGCTGTGACCTGAAACAGCCATGGCAGGGTGCTGGGGTCCCTGTGGTAGGTATGAGGGTGCTGTGGCCACCGAAATTCACAGATAATCTCCAAGCGTCATTCTAGCCATTCGCTTTACATTCTTTTCCCATTAAGCTTTTTTGTGTTTTAAGAGAGGCACTATTAAGGCTCCAGTGGCCAGGTTTTAAGGTTTCTCTTCTCACTCTTGACGGGTGCTGTACTCCATAGGGACCGAAAGGCAGAGTCAGGTGGCAGCAAGAAGAGCAAACCCGAGAGGCTCTTAATTCCCAGAGTGACGGTCAGTCCTGAGCACTGGGGCTGGCCCGGAGGAAAGACTGTGTGGAGAGGGCTTGTGTGCTACAAGCCAGGTTCCTTCAAAGGTGACTGTGGTCATCCAGTGACCACTGAGGCAGGCACCTACTGAGCGCACGTCCATACATGTGTGCTGAACATGCTGCCTTGCTTTGCAGGTGATCACCTTCTTCAGCTCGAGGTTGCTACAGGCGGGAGCTGAGCTGTCAGTGGAGCGGGTCCTGGAGATCATTAAGCAGGGTGTGGTTGCGCTGCCCAAAGACAGGCTGAAGGTAAGATGGCCGAGAACCATTCCTCGGCGCCCTGCTCTGTCATGCTGCTGCCTCACTCGGTGTAGCTGCCAGTGTCTGAGCAGGCACTGCTCAGTCGTACACGCAGCCAGGACTTGCACTGGAAGGGGAGGTGCCTCAGAACCGGGGTGGAGGAAGCTTCTGACAGTTTGGCAAAGGAAAGCAGCACAGGAAGGACCTGCACACTCCTGCCACTGCACGTCCGTAAAGTTGCCACTGTAACACTGTAAGTCATTAGTTTACTACTAGTAAAGGGGCACTTTTTTTAACCCAGTGAAACAAGTTGTCCTATAAGGAGTATCAAGGACTGATGGGAAGATGGCAGTGAAGGTGATGACGATGACTACAGAACAGCTAAAACTTACAGGTGTGCTCCGTGCTACATGGACTCTCCGTGTTTCGCTCCTCACAACAGCGCTTAGAGGGGGGTAGTGTTATCATCCTCACCTTCTGGGACAAGGAAACTGATGCATGGAGTGGGTGCGTAGGGGCCAGAGAGATGGAGTCCAGGAAGTCTGTGCCCAGCCTGTGCTTCTGACAGCCACCCGTTTCCTGCATGCTTGGGCTGAGGTCATGAAGGAGAAGCACCCTGTGAAGGGAGGGGAAGAACCGTATTTTGGGGCGGCATTCACATTGATGTGGTGGGATGTTCCTGATGCGACCTCATGATATAAACACATATGTCAAGCCAGTAGTCCCAGAGGATAGACGGAAGGGCTTGACGGACAGGGAATGCCCAGCGTTGCAGCTTGTCTGACTTTACTGCTGCTTTTCACCCTTTTCTTTCTTTAGGCCTAGTTTCAGAGTGCTTTCTAGAGTAAGAGCACAGGGGACGGCTGACCTTCTTCATAGTGTTCTACCCCAACTGCCTTCTGTACGAGTGTTATTATTTGGGGCTGTTTTCAGCACTGTCGCTAGAGCCGCTCCTTAACAAATGCTTAGAGAGATTGCTACGGGATATAAAAACATTCCCAGTTACAACGATAGAGTTTGTAAAAAGACAGCACATGAGTCATCATGGTCAGCAGCAACATTCACACGGCACTGCACAAGGTGCCGGTGCTTCTGATATCAGCCAGGGTGGCACCACCCCGTGGTGACAGCAGGAAAACAGGCAACAGGAGAATTCACGTGTAAACATAGCCACTGCTAAGGTCCTCGGTGGGGGATGCCAGACGTGTTGCAGAAATAGGAAGGGGGGGAGTCCACAGTGGCCAGAGCTACATGGCCAAGGGGAGAGTTGGAGCAGGTGGCCAGAGAGAATGGCTGGTGCCATGTAGACCACTTTAGTGATCTGGGTTATTTTCTGAGTGAAATGGGGAACCATGTAAGATTTGAGAAGAAGAGTGGAGTGATAGGGTTTATGTTCTAACCGGATCACTCTGGCTGCTGTGTTGAGAAGCAGAGGCCAGCGAGAATGTATGTTATGGTGCAAGAGAAGTCAGCGTTGTGTTGTATGCTAGAGGGCAGCGGGTAGACACCACACTAAGACAGGTGTTAGTTCAACTTAAGGATAGACTCTCTGACTACTAATGCCACTCAGCAGTCAGTGTGCAACTTCATGAAGACATCGCGTGGGGTATCACCATGAAGGCATCACATGGAGTGCCACCATGAAGACATCACATGGAGTGAAGTGTCACTATGAAGGCATCACACAGAGTATCACCATGAAGATGTCACACGGATTATCACCATGAAGATGTTATGTGGAGTAGCACGATGAGCACATCTTGTGGAGTAGTCACTATGAAGACATCACATGGAGTATCACCATGAAAACATCATGTGAAGTAATGCAAAGAACACATCGCATGGAATATCATGATACACATGTCATGTGGAGTAGTCACCATGGACACATCACGTGGAGTAGTGACAATGAAGATGTCATGTGGAGTATCATAAACATGTCATGTGGAGTAGCCATGATGAACACATCACACTGAGTATCATGAAAACATCACATGGAGTAGTCACGATGAAGATGTCACATGAAGTATCAGCATGAAGACATCACGCAGAGTAGTCACAATGAACACATTACATGGAGTATCATGATGAAGACGTCACATGAAGTCATCACAATGAAGATACCACATGGCATAGTCATGATGAAGACACCCTGTGGAGTAGTCATGAAGATGCTGCGTGGCATAGTCATGATGAAGACGCCATGTGGAGTTGTCATGAAGACGCTGTGTGGCATAGTCATGATGAAGACGTTGCATGAAGTAGTCATGATGAAGACACCGCATGGCATAGTCATGATGAAGACGCTTTGTGGAGTAGTCACAGTGAGCACGTCATGTAGTGTATCATGAACACGTCTCATGGAGTAGTCATAATGAAGACGCCGCATGGTGTAGTCATGATGAAGACATTACATGGAGTAGTCACAATGAACACTTCATGTAGAGTATCACGATGAAGACACCACATGGAGTGGCCACGATAAAGACACCGCATAGCGTGGTCATGACAAAGACGCCACATGGCATATCCTGATGGGCTCTGGATGGTAAGCATCAGAGGAGCACTGGATGGCGGGGCTCAGATCCATGGCACAGGAGAAAAGGCTGAGAGGATTGCTGTTAGCGGAAGGTGACGCAGGATGGGCCCTGGGATAGCAGTTTTAACAGTCTGGAGTTCCATGTGATTTCAAAATGAGCTTTTGTAGAACAGTGTGCCCCGTTGCTGCCAGATAGAATCTGGAGTCTGAGGACAGGGATTCTAGTGTGTTCCCAGGCCCACCCAGCCTGCCATCCCGTCGTCTCTCTCCCTGCTTCCCTTTGCACATCCACCGCCCCAGCCAACCAGAATTGCATCTGCGCCCCACGCTTCCTCCTTTCCTGCATGGTTGAATTTGCTCCCACAGTTCTCTCTCCTTCATGTGTCATTCCCCACCTTGCTTTTTGCTTGTCCAAGTTCTGAGCCTTCACCAGAGGCCTTGGTAAGTGTAGCAACTCTTGTGGCCTTTCCTTTGACTCCCTGACATGCGCAAGTCTCCCCCCTCAGCGTGACATAGCACTCGTGCCTCTTTGAGCTTGTGTTTATGACATCTGTCTCTCCCACTCAGCTGCAACATCCTTTAGAACAGAGGCTGGGCCTGCTCGTCTGCCTTCCCAGTACCCGTCCAGTGTCATGTACACAGCAGTCGCTCTGTAAGTGTGATGAGTAGGTAGACGAAAAGCTCACTCATGTATATACTCAAAAGAGAAAGTGAAGTGGGAACTTGTCAGAATTCAAGAGTGGGGAGTAAAATTTTCTGTCTCTATACCCGCTTTTCTAATTATTGTTCTACCGTCCAGTTTGGAAGTTTAATTTGTGTGACTTTCTCTCCCTGTATTTGCCAGTCACTGCCCTAGACTCTGTGATGGGTGCAGCACTGGGCAAAACAGACCCAGATCCCTCCCCTCTTAGAACTGAGTTTTTGCGGAGAAGTTAGACAATAAGTGAGAATAATGCTACTTTAGATAGCATTAAATAATAGGAAAACTAAGAAGGACAGGAGGAAAGGCAGTGATGGGAAGAAGCCGTTGTAGGTAGGATGGTCAGAGGAGGAGATCTGAGTCAGTGTTGTTTGCTTTTTAAAAATATTTTATTGTCAAATAATGATAGACTTACAGAAAAGTTGCCAAAAGAGTGGCGAGAGTGCGTGGAAACCTTTATCCAGCTTCCCCAGTGTGATTGCCATCATGACTAGGGCGTGATCATCAAATGAGAAAGGCAGCACGGTACAGCACTGGGGACTAGACTGCAGGCCTTATGTGAAGGTCACAGCTTCTTTTCCCCAGTGCCATTTTCCTGTCCCGGAGTCCTGCCCAGAACCCACAAGGCACTGGCTGTGTCTCCTGTGTCTCCTCCCGCTTGTGACTGGTCCTCAGCCTCTTCTTCTCTTTCATGACCTTGACGTTTTTTTGTAGGCGCTGGTCAGTTATGTGTAGACTCCCTGTTAGCATGGATTTTCCTGATGCTTTCTCATACTATATTGAAGTTACACATGTGTGACAAAAATGCCGCAGACATGATGTGTCTCCCCAGTGCCTTGTATCAGTGGGCACACAACGTCACCTTGTCTCTCCTTCCTGGTATGTCATCCTTGGTCATGCGAGTCGTGTCCTGTTTGATAGGTTCCTCCAGTGAAAAGTGACTCCTTTTCCCTTTGAAGTGATGAATGCCTTGGGGCGATGCTTAGAGACTTGGCTGGTGTCCTGTTTCTCCTCCGATTCTACCTGCAGATTTACCCATTCATCAGTAGATCTGCCACCTGTGACTGCTGTGGGAGTTGCCTGGAGATTTGGCGCTTTGCTCGGTAGGTTGCAATTCAGCTCTGTCCGCTATGATTTAGCAGCTCACCCAGTGGTGCTCCGTGTCCCTGGATAACTGTCTTCTTTCCATACTTCCTCGTTTCTGGCTCATAGGATGGGCCGACTTATTGGTCTTTGCTCCCGCTGGCCCAACCGTGGGCTGCGAGGCCTGCTGTTGTCTTTTAATGATTGTATTTGGGAGCTAAGGCCTGATGTGGGGCCACCAGCATCTTGGAACACAGAGCGCCGTCCTTTCCCACCTGGTTCCCCTTCGTGAACAGTGGTGCTTCCCCACTCTGCGGCCACAGCAGGCACTGGGCTCCAGCTGATCCCCATACTTGCAACGTGCCCTGCGTCTTTCCTTCGGCATGTCTCACTGTGTCTTTAGCCCATGTTTTTCTACTTTCTCCAACCTCAGACTATATTTTCTGGTTCCCATAGTGAATGTTCTTGTCCAGGGGCTGGCCTGCGGCCACAGCAAACACTGGAAGCTTCTCCTGCATTTCACTGTAGCAGGTGCCTTACAGCAGAATGAGTTCAGGTGCAGGAAGGCCGGTGCGTTCAGTTCTCATCCTGTTCAAACCAGAAAGCCCTGTATATTCAAGACGGTGACATACAAATGGAAATGTAACTCTTGGTTTCTCACAATCATGGCTAAATAGAAAAATTAAT